CCTTATAGTAAAATGAGTTATTCTTGAAAATGACTGGAAAACATTTATTAGGCCCCTATCTTTTGTTCAGTTGTAAACAAGTCCAATCTGATGAATAAACAATAATTTCAGACTTGATAAATTCCCTATAACCCCTATATTATTATAAATTACTAAAAAGTCCAAAAGCTAGTGTATGAGAATTATAAAATTTTGATGAATTACCAAAGATATTATAAATTACTAAAAAGTCCAAAAGCTAGTGTATGAGAATTATAAAATTTTGATGAATTACCAAAGATAGCAACAAACTCATATGCATTGTAGAATTTAATTATTATTGATTATATTTGAATTTATTAGACTCTAGATTATGAATTGATGCACCTATAATATATGGTTGTTCTGAATTAATAATTAGTCATATATCTTACATTATAGGTTCTGGTTGATATTTGGGAAAATAATATTTTGAGAAAGTCGTGACCACTAGAGGTGAGTTCATTTCTCACTAGTATTTTATAATATAAAATCGCATGAGTTTTATATTTTATTATCTTGTGATGAAAAAAAAAATATGTCTTTTCATATATGTAAAGATTTGACCTATTTCTGTTGTGGTCTATCCTATAATACGATGTTAGCCTCGTACAATATATGAAAAGTAAATTTGATTTTTATATAAAATGCGGAAAAAAATGAATTTGGCTTTCATGCAATTTTCAAATAATCGTGGACATTGTTTTATCTGAATGTTTTGATAAGGTATTTGGAACATATTTCAACAGTTTAACGGATTCAAAGAATTTGGTGACTTGGTATCTGATAAAAGAAAAAAATAAACATCTGTAAATTGTTTTAACAGAAATAAGGAGCTTTATCTTGTCAATTTCATTTGAAATATCTGCAAATTCTGATATGCAAAGTATTTCTCATTTGACATGTGATCTTGATGTTTTCAAACCCTCAAATAGTCCACTATGGATTAGTTCTGCCTGCCATATGGTGAATGCACCTTTATTTGGCCCTTCTGTATTGGCCTTGGCCCTTCTGTATTGGCCCTTCTAAAATCTGTTTCTGGCCCCTCTGTATTTGGTCAGTAGCCTATGGCAGTGTTAGGTGCATTCGATTCCCAGGAACTATCTGTTATCTGATGCGGTTTACGCATTCCCTTGCTACTGGGCTAAAATTCGTAGCCTTAGTGTGACATATGAGGTGATTATTGTGTTTCATGAATTACTAGCTGGAAATGTAGAGCTAAGTGTTATACGGGGCTAAGTGCTACACGGTATGAACACGGTGGGAGCCACCTCTAGAGCCCGCAGAAACTACCACTAAAGTTCACATCGCCTGATAGTAATAGATTTATGATTTTGAGATTTGAACGTGAATTCGAAGAACACGACTCATCAAATTTAAGATTTTGACAATTGACTGCGAAACTAAGAAAATAATTGTCCTCTGGTTTTGCACCCAATTTAGTAATTTCTTTTCTTTATTAATGTTAACCTTGATTCAAAATTCTGATAATTGACTGTGAAATTGAGAAAACAACAATTCTTTGATTTTGTACAAATTAGTAGTTCTTTTCCTTCTTAATGCTTACCTTGATTCAAAAGGGGTTTGATTCCAACAAATTTCATAGTTTATTCAGTTGCACATGAGAAAGGAAATATAATTGTTATATCTTTTCTTAAAAATGGTAATATTACGATATTTGGATCGTATTTTACTATCTTTGAAATTTCTCTTGCAAAACTGAAATTCGTTATTTCTGAGAATTATTCTTATTACTATTTTGTTAGTTATCTAGGAACTCTAGTGGGAAATGTTCTCACTGAGCGCTAGCTCACCCCGTTGTTTTTAAATATTTTTTTCAGATCAGGCGTAGCTTCCTACTAGCCGACTTTTGGTTTGAACTTTTGGCTGAGAGGCGTTATATGGAGGGCCTCTTCATTTTGATGTTACCTTCAGCACCATTTATTTTGTTTTGTAAAATGCTTATGACGGTGAGCTTGTGAGCTGTAAGTACCGATCATATATATAGTTGCTCTGACTTCTATCATTAGCAGGTTTATGAATATTTGAAATAAACTATGTGATATGAAGTGCCAGGCTTGACCCGTGCATAAGACTTGTCTTAGGCATTGGTCGCTGCTGTCGCGCACCCCGTATTTTATGATATTCCGTTGTAGTTTCGGGGCGTGACAATGTTTGCACAATCTATGGCAGATGCACAACACTAGGTTGCACAACTCTTGAAGCAATAATGCATAAGCCTGGTTGAGAAACTCATAAAATGTCTAGATCTTCTTTCATGAAATGCACCTTCAAATTTTAAGAAATTCAAACAGTAATCCATAATGACGTATCTGATTGAATATAACACTCAGAAAGAAAATCTAGAAAGAAGTAGCACATTTTTGTTGAAAATAATCCAAGTCAGCAGCAAAGTACATAAGAGATACAATTTCTAGAAGTTGCGGTTTAGTTGCAGGTTTATTTTGTTGTTAAGAATTAATTATGAACTGGTTGTTAAATTTAAGCAGCATGTTCTCTGTTTAGTGGTGTGCAGGGAGTAGTGGGTAGTTTTTATATTTAGTTTAAGTCATGTAGTGGGTTTAGTTATAGGCTAATTAGAGCAGGAGTGTATTGGAGTTGGTGGGTGCAAAATTAGGAATATGCACCATCTTAAGTATTGTGTCTGTATCTGTTGATGAATTAATTAAGTTGTGAGTACAATCAATTGCTGTGTTCTGCTTGTTTCTTTTAAAAAGTTCCAACAAAATTGGGATCAGAGCGTAAGGTTGATCCAATGACCGAAGCAGGTAACAACGTAACCATCAACATGTCTAAATAGACGATACCTTTGTTCAAGGGTGAGAGTTACGAATTCTGGAGCATTAAGATGCGAATAGAGATATTAAATGGGTGGGTATGGGTTTAAATGGGCGGGCCATAAATGGGCGGGCATGTTTTGCCCATTTACCCATTTATGGCCCATTTAACATTATTTAAATGGGTTTTTGCCCGCCCATTTAATAAACGGGTCGCCCATTTGCCCATTTAACTATAGTACATATATATATATATGTATAATACTTTTGGGGTGTTTTTTGTAAACTTTTAGGGGTTTTTTTGTAAACTATTGTGGGCTTTTTGCAAACTTTTTGGGAGCTTTTTACAAACTTGTTGGGGCTTTTGATAAAATACTAACAAAGATAGGAACATAAATAAAGATAAACAAATACAGACAAATTCATGATTGAACCATTTACAAGCCTGGATAAAAGTACAGACCTCACACATTTGTAAAATTAACCTTAAATTTCCAAACCAAAAACCAAAAGATCAATAACAACAAAATTGCGAGTATATTTAAATGAATTAAGATAGAAAACACAAGGTATGCAAGGATCTGTATAAGATCAATAACTTGATATAAACGCCATCATAACTATCAGCAACACGATCACGATTAGTAAGGACAATCTACTTAATTACTTGATAAACTAGAAGAGTAGTAAGTTCGTCTATAAACAAATAGTAGCACAACCATAGTCTACTTATTTCCCATCTTTCAAATGTTCAGGCATGAACAGGATCATGACAGAAGAAAGAAAAGACCAGGAAATAAAGATCAAAAGGGAGGGATTTTACGAGAAAGTAAATCTTAGCCCCCAAATTGACAATGCTGCGACTGACAATAATCACAACGCAAGGAAACAGTATAAACATATTACAGAATCAACCAAAATCAACCAAAATCACTGCAGTTATAGACGTACTACTAGCTCACAAATTCAAGGTTCTCTGCAGCATCAGTTGTTCAGCAGCAGCAGCAGCAGCAGCAGCAACAGTCAGTTAACCAGTATATGCCAGAGTTGGAGCAATTTTTGAAACATCAGTTAGAGGAGCAACATCATCTTCAACAGCTGCAGCAGCAACAAGAATTGCATCAGCAACAACAACAACTTCAGCTCCAAATGCAACTAAAAATCATGAAACTTTACTTGGTTAATTGTTCAATTTTCGAACATTTGCTGCAGTAGCAGTTGAATGACCCTGTTTATCAACTTAGTTAAGTGTTACGCGGCATGAGTCATAAGAACATTTCATATATAAACTATTAATGAGATTGCTAAGTCAAACTATCAAATTAAACAATTAACCAAGTAAAGTTCATGAACCATGGGAACTGTATTAATATATAAAGAACTTAATATTTGTAATCTCATGATTTAAGGGAAATCCTTCTTGGTATTTGTACGTGTAGTGTAAAAGTGAGGCAAAAGCTCAAAAATTTTGCTTTCTCATATACTAATTAATTGTAGGATTAGTTGAACATACAAGTACATAAAAGTATTCACACTTTAAATCATTACACAAGAATCACACATACTGATATCACAAAAATAGTGCATTTATAGTACATAAAAGTATCCCACCCACAAAAGGGATTCCATACCTGAAAACTTCTGCTATAGTCTCATCTTCTGGAGAAAATTTATGTGCCTTTCTCAAGTCGGAAACAGCAGCCTGATCAAGCGGTGAGTGAATAATACTATCATTAGTGGATATGATGCTTTAAAATGGAGACAAGATGGTGGACAGTGGACACAATAATTGTTTAAAATCAAGACACGAGAGTGAAACTATGTTGCATATATCAGATTCCATATACTTTTTGAAGTAAATTGCACTATACAAATTTTCAAGTAATGGATATGAATAGACATATTTATCATGTCTTGGTGTGCCATACATGCCGATTTTTTGGATCCTATATTTAGTTTGGATGAGACTATAGCAGAAGTTTTCATTGACTATCCTATATTTAGTTTGGATCTCTAATGAATCCTAAACTATGATGAAGGATGTGTATAATGGAGCAGCAATTCCCATAAGGATTGATATAAGTCTTTATATCTTTGTACTGGTTATGGATGAATATAATGGAGCAGCAATTCCCATAAGGATTGATATAAGTCTTTATATCTTTGTACTGGTTATGGATGAAGATGTGTGTCCAAATTGGTAACGGGTTTGTTGATCCAGACCCGGTTGTTTATCCATCCACCACAGTGCTCATCCCATTGCCAAGAAAACCCTTGAGCTCGCAAACTCAAATTTATCACCCACTTGAGTACAGTCCACCTCCCCGTTCATGTCTAATCATTCGTAAGGCTAAAAGATTAACTACAGGACTTCATGTAGGTATTGGTGCAGCTATTTCTGTTGCAGTTCTGTTTCTTATCGTTACAGTTTTATTGTGGCTTCGAAGAAAGAAGATGAAAAGAATGGTGATGAAGAATAACAATGTTGTATCAAAAGATATTGCTAACGCCGTGTCAATAATAGACTGCCCATTGAAGATATTTCTGGTTAAGGAAATAAAAGAGGCGACTAAATATTTCAGCTCAGAGTGCAGGATACAAGGATCAGTGTATAAGGGAATAATCGGCGAAAATGTGTCTGCTATCAAGAAGATAAGTAAGGATATGTCACAGGAAGTTAACATACTGCACAAACTCAATCATGTCAATATTATAAGCCTCCATGGAATTTGTACAGGAGAAGAAAACTGCTATTTAGTCTATGAATTCATGGAGAACGGGTCTCTGAAGGATTGGCTCAAGAATCCTAATCGATCTGGGCTCTTGAAGTGGACCCAAAAGGTTCAGATTGCTCTGGACATCGCTAATGGGCTCGATTACATACACAACTTCACATATCCGCCATATATTCACAAGGATATAACGAGCAGTAATGTTCTCCTTAACGGGAAATTGAGAGCTAAAATAACAAATTTTATACTGGCAAGATCATTAGACTGTAGAAAGTTTGGTTCCTACTTAACAAAGAATGTTGAGGGTACTCTCGGTTATATGGCATCTGAGTTCATAGAATCTGGACTCATAACTCCGAAACTTGATGTATATGCATTTGGGGTAGTTATATCGGAACTTATTACAGGAAAGAAAGCTATAAATGTAAGCAAAGGGAGAGAAGAACTGTTATCGGAATCGATAGTTTCCATTGTAGAAGGAAACAATGCAGATCGAGAGCTTATGGGCTTCATGGAGTCTACTATGAGAAGCATAAGCCAAAAAACTAATTTAATAGCACATCAATTTTGGGTAGCAAACACATAATAAAGGCACAAAATAATATAAAAACAGTAATTGGTTGGTGTAATAATTCACATGTCGCTAATAATATAACAAGAATTATTGCTTATTCTCAACTTGTCTACCTTTTTCAAACCCAAAAAACTACCTGATTTATTGCTTATTCTACCTTGTTCATGTGCTTCATTTATTCATTCATTTATAGACTAATGAATGAAGATATGTTTTTTTCGGTAATCAGGAAGCAGTGGAACATGCACAAGCTACTGGTCATGTGAATTTCCAAGAATACAGATAGCAGGAGTCTTCTCACTTCATTTTGCTGGAGGCAATGAAAGGTTGTATCAATCGAAGTCGAGTTTGATGTCGTGATAAGCGTTAGGAAGTTTTATTTGTTCCGGACAAATCAAAACTTTTACAGAATAGAATGTTCTGATAAATCAGTAACCGATTGATGTCGTGTTGAAATACAATAAATTGTGGACTTGAAGAAAACAGTCATAAGGAGAAATGTTTGCAATTTGTGATGATGTTTCTGGTGATGTCATGATTTTTAAAATTCTGCTTTAAACTTTGATTCAGGTTGTTTCAGGCTTAGTATAAAGGAGGAATGCTTCCAATAATACAATATGTAACATTTGATCTGGACTATGTGACGTTGTGTGGATTAGCAAGGTACGGTAATTAAACACCACCACAAAATACTCTGCATAAGGATCTTCAAATTGCTATACAAGAATTATCTCGTGCAAAATAACTTATTTGCAATGGGAAACTATAACTAGCGTTATGCTTGCAAGCTCACAATTTCTATAGTAGGTAAATAAATTTGGAATTAAATTTAATGTTGAATATGGTATTTAATTTACCGGAACATAAGTGATTAAAGATACCATATGCAGGGAAAAAATCCCTTACGCATTGCTCTAGAGGATTATGTGATAGAACCTATTTTAGTAGATGTAGTTGCATGAAAATGACATATTTTAGACCAGTTATAGCAGTTTAATTTATATATAGAAAACATAGTATTGAATTCATATCAGAGCAATAGCCGATCTATTTATGCAATCTCCTTGTTTAATGGAAGGCAATTCAAATACCCACTATTGCAAACTTTATTTTTACTACATTTCTATATAGATAATAGACAAAGGCACAATTTTAATTCAAGAATAGCATTATATCTTCAAGAATCTATCATAATTTTGTGCAAATTATGCTAAACTTGATTAGAATAGACTCTAGTTTAGAAAAAATAAGAACAATTTAAACAAATCAACCGAACTTCATGAAAAAATAAGAATAGACTCTAGTTTAGAAAAACTTGATTAGAATAGTGTAGACGGTAAAAAAAATACCTCTATAGGCTCACAGGAAATTCGCCTGCGAAAAGAGCTCGCACGCCCGGTTCTCTGGCACGGGCCTAAATCGCATGGACATCGCACATGCTCGATTCTAAGTTCGCCTTACGGTCGGCTCGCCAGCACGAGTTAAGATCGATTAGGATGGCGGAAGTTCGCCTTTCACTCAACTCGCCTGCCCGAGTCCAGAGTCGAATCCGCCAGCAAACCCCAAGACCGTCAGTACAGCTGGGTATCCACTACCCCACGTGCTGAGATGGACCTTCCCATCTCTCTCGACCCGAAGGGGGAGAGAGCACGATACCCCAGGACCGTCAAACGGTCGCTCGCAGTACGCGCAGCACGAAAGCCTGGACAGGTGTCGAGTCAACCTGAGCATTCATAAATGCGACTCACCTCGGATGTCTGAGCCAAGAGCTGGATCCGCCGGCACTCGGCAAGCTGGCTAGACCCACTCGAGTACTGTACATCTACTTCACCGCCTCTCCTGACCGGAGAGGAGAAAGCACCATGCTCAAAGCCCGCCGGGCGGTCACGCACAGTACAAGTGATCGGACAGACACTTCATCGATCTGCGAACTCATAAATGCGGTTCATTAATGCTGGTCAAATCCACTCGGATAGCAGTCGTTCGTGGCCTCACACACAAGATGGGCCTTCCCATCGTAGGTGACAGGACATAGAGCACAATCCCTGGAATGACCATTCATGGTATCGAGGAACGGCGAGACGTCTCTGAAGAGGATGTGGTCACATCCCACAATTCAAGGAGAAGTCGAGCTGTCCTTCTTTCATTTAAAAGCCCCTTCCAGCACGATGGAAGAGAGGTCGCAAAACTTGGAGAAAAAAGAGTTGAGACCAAGCTGTTAGCAAATCCTTGCATTACAGCACTGCTGCCTAGTTCCGAGCTCCGATCGCCGACGAACTAAGCAGACCCGAACTCCATTACCCCGAGCTTCTACTGCGAACTGAAGCTCTCCAGCAACCTCATTCAAACGGTCCAAGGGAAGCAGACTCGACCCGAGCATCGAGCGAAGCGTCCTATAGCCACCTAAAGTCCCCACACAAAACAAAGAGGGCCTTCCCTCTGCTTCTGTTGTAAACATTTGATTTGTTAGTTTGTAATAAGCTTTCTTATAAATACAAACGAAACTCCTTTCTTCGGAAGAATCAAATTTTCACCCTACAGAAGATGGCGACCACAGTGGGAGAATCCGTTCATTCAGATGAATTGGTGGTGGCGCAGTCCGACGAAGTTGCTGCAGGGACTACGGTTGAGTCCCTTGTGATCAAATTCGAGGGGTACTTACAATCGTCCTCTTCTGGCGGCAATACATCTCGCGATAACTGCATAGTCGTGCGGGTGGCCCAGCCCCAAGAGGCCGAGGCAACCAAGCCTGAGGGATCTACCCAAGCCGAGGCAGGGGGTTCTTTTCCCCCCGAACCAGTTGAGGCCGAGCCGAGATTCGAGAATGCAGGTCTA